GGCATCGCCGATGCGTCCATTGATTCAATCAATCAGCATTGAAGATAATTAGTTTGATGCATTGCAATGAAAACCCCAAGTGCTGTGCCCCACCAATATTCTATTATGCATGAAATAATAAGATTAAATAACTATTTTATCTTATTATTTATATGAATAGGAGTTCTTCAAATTATATTAATATAATAGATGAAGTAGAGAATATAGAACAAGTAATAATAACTGACAATAAAATTAAAAAATGCTGTTATTATTCATTAGAAATACTTAAGCTAGGAATACAATATATCAAAAATAAAAATGTAAATATTAATATACATGGGAAAAAAGAAAAAGAGTAAAGGCAAAGAAAGACCAATGCCAGATATTGAAGCACGGAAAGAAACAGCAGAAAGTGTTAAATCACTGGGCGAAAGTAAGGCTATAAAATGTGATAAATGTAATCACGTAATGAATTTTAAAAATGAATTGACAGTAGATAAGAAAGGCGGAGTGAAGGTTAGTTGTATTCCTTGTATGTTTCTTATAAAAGCTCAGATAAGGATTTAAATATTGAGAAAAAACAGGTGGCGATATGGTTGTTGAAACTAATGAACACTTGATTAATGTTAGTTTTAACAGGGAAATAAGTTAGTATTTAAAGAGTAGATTTAACATAATTGCACTTTATAAATATATAATGAAATAATTAATTATCTAAATAAATATATAGTAATGTCTGAAAATGAAAATTATACTATTAATGATTTAATGAACAAGATAACATCAATTGGCAAAATATCAAAAACTTAAATGATATTGAGTTTTATAAAATTACAAAAAATGATGATGCAGTATATGTATTATTTGAATAATTAATATCTAAGTAATTCTAATAATATGAATTTATTAGAATTATTTAGCGGAACAAAAAGCGTCGGAACCATAGCAAGGTCGCTTGGATTTGATGTAATATCATTAGACTTGAAAAATGCTGATATCAACACTGATATTTTGGAGTGGGATTACAAACAGTTTGACAGAAACCATTTGATTTTATTTGGAGTAGTCCCCCATGCACTGAATATAGTGTAGCAAAAACTAGGGGAATTAGGAATATCGAATATGCAAATAGTATTGTCTTAAAAACTATTGAGATTATCAAATATTTCAATCCTAAATATTTTGTACTCGAAAATCCACAAAGTGGATTATTAAAAAATCAGGAGTTTATGGATGAGTTTGATTTTAAAGATGTAGATTACTGTAAATATGGAATGCCTTACAGAAAACGCACCAGGCTCTGGAATAACATTACAACTTGGAAACCTAGAGATTTGTGTAAAAAGGATTGTGGCAACATCAGGAATAATAAACATATTGAAACTGCACAACGGCTACCATCAAAAACCAAAGCAGAATGGGGAGACAATCCAGTATTTCACAAACAGGAAGATTTATATAAAATACCTAGCGAATTAATTTGTGAAATCTTAGTGTGTTTGACGGATTAAGGATTTTGAGTTTGGTTGATTCTGGGACTCCAGTCCCAATTTTCGGGGACTCCAGTCCCAATTTTCGGGGACTCCAGTCCCAATTTTCGGGGACTCCAGTCCCAAATGCATGGGATTCGGGGACTCCAGTCCCAAATGCATGGGATTCGGGGACTCCAGTCCCAAATGCATGGGATTCGGGGACTCCAGTCCCAAATGCATGGGATTCGGGGACTCCAGTCCCAACATTCTGGAACGATTTAGCCATACTGTAATAATAACATTTATACCCTTTTATGTTATAATTATATTTCAATATTTAATGTTATTTCTTGTAAAAAAGTATTTAAAGAAATACAAACTATGTATATTATAGTAAATATGGGATGGACTTTAACATCAAGAGAAACTAAGAAGTGTGGATGTGTGGAAGAAACACACGTTCATGATGATTTTCCGACAAGTGATACAAGTTTAATATTATGCAAGGAATGTGAAACTAAAAAGGTAGAAGAAGAGAAAACAAGGGAAGAATAAAAAAAAAAAAAACATATACAATAAGTTTATTCAGGCAATAAATAATATAGAAACTAAATTAGTTCCGCGAAAAGAAGTATATCCAATTATGTCTACCTATCGTTTTCGGCTTAAGCGTTCAACATTCTCAGTATTCAACTATCAGTTATTGAAGCATATATTTAAATACCAACAATTCAGGAATCGATATTACATAAATATTAATGCTGTGCAATTATTTTACGAGCATGAGCTTGATAAATATTATTACTTGAATATAAGATAGATTAAAACCATACTATAATAATAACATTTATACCCTTATGTGTTATAATTATAATGTAAGTATAGTGTTTTATATATTGAAGATAAAATCCTACAAGGAGCACCACGCCTATTAAAATATATGATAAAAGTGATGAAACGAAGGAGGAGAGTGATGTTGTTGCTGTTCCATTTTTGTCTGAGAAATGGACAAATCGTTTTTAGACAGTTCGAATATTGTTTGATGACAAATATGTTTGCAATATATTTTGCAAAATTTATTTTTTTGAAATGGATGAGGTGAGGAGCTTGAGGAAATGACATTTTGAAGGGTAGTTGGTGAAATGAATGAGGCGAGGAGGAAGGAGAAAAGGATGGCGAACATTTTGGACAAATGATGAGAAAAAAACGGATGAGATGGACAGAAAGGAATGTAGAAAAATGATGAAAACGAATAAGGGTGGAAGATGGAAGATGGAAAAAGTTGTAGGGGGGAGTGTATGTATGAAGCAACTTATTTGCTAGGCGTGGCCCTCCACTACTAAAAATAGGTATGGCCGCCCTTTGCTGTCCTTACTTGGATTTAGGTAGACACTCAATTGGAGGGTTTGTTGAGGGGGTAGCTTCCCATGTACCCTCTACTATTCAAGAAGCTGGGGCTTAAATCCCCAAACCACCAATTCAGGGTAGCCTGAAGTTGATGCCTTGAAAAGGTCCTAACAAGTGGGTTCCTTTGTCGGATGTAAACAAAACACACAACAGTATATATCTCGGCCAATTGTAATAATGTCTACCTCGTACCTCGAATTATTCAAACAAAATAAAACTATACCTCCCAAATTTCAGGTCCACCTCGCACTTCGTATTTCGGGGCCTTCCTTGCCTCTTAAAGAAGAGGGTGCAGAACCTGATGAAAGACGGAGAAGGGCGGATTTTCTCAAACGTGTGCCTTTTCAAGCTTTTCAGGGCCAGATAAGCAGAAACGGCTGGATTTTGAGAACCTGATGCCCGTCGTAATTAGAGACAGAGAAGGGCCGGATTTTCTCAAATATGTGTGTGTGTGTGTGTGGGGGTGTCTCTCTCTGTGTGTGTGTGTGTCTCTCTGTGTGTGTGTCTCTGTGTGTCTCCGTGTGTGTTTGTGTGTGTGCGTGTCTGAGTGTCTGAGTGTCTGAGTGTCTGAGTGTCTGAGGTGTCTGAGTGTCTGAGTGTCTGAGTGTCTGTGTGTCTGTGTGTCTGTGTGTCTGTGTGTCTGTGTGTCTGTGTGTCCGTGTGTCCGTGTGTCTGTGTGTCTGTGTGTCTCTGTGTCTCTGTGTCTCTGTGTCTCTGTGTCTCTGTGTCTCTGTCTCTCTGTGTCTCTGTGTCTCTGTGTCTCTGTGTCTCTGTGTCTCTGTGTCTCTGTGTCTCTGTGTCTCTGTGTGTCTCTGTGTCTGTGTGTTTTCAATCTTGTTAGAACCAAATAATCAGAAACGGCTCGTTTTTGAGAACCTGATGCCAGTCAAGGGCTTCTGAAACGTGTGAATTCAAGCTTGTTAGGGCCAATCTAAAATAAGAGACAGAGAAGGGCTCAATTTTGGGGAAAAACACACGTGTGTGTTTTCAAGCTAGAACCTGATGCAAGTGGCAACATGAAAGACACGGGTCGGGCTTTCTCAAGCATGCGTGTTTTCAAGCTTTTTAGGGGGCTCGGATCCTCGCACACCTGGCCACACGGTCGGTGGCCATCGAAGATGAAGCCCCGGTGCGCCGAAAAACATCCAACAGATTTGAGAAACCCCGTAATTCGGAAACCACCTCGGAATTCGGAAACGGTTCTCCTGAGGCCAGTGGGCTCACTATAATTTGGCCATGAGATCCCAGCTTGGAAGACGTATGATACGCCACCCAACGCATGTGCGCCGCCGCGGCGATTCAACCCAAGCTTTGAGTAAACAGAGCGTAGAAAAAACGAGCTGCGTTCAACCAATGTTGGAATGGGATCAGTCAGTCACTTTGAGAAAAGTGATGGAATTTCAGACACAGTGCCCAAAGCAGCAATTTGCAAGGCGATCCAGGTAACAATGATGATGCTTACACTGGGCTGTCCTCAGATCCCCCGCTAAACGTGACTAACTTTTAGTGGGTGAAATACGGAAATCCAACCACTAAACCAACTAAAAGGATCTAAAAAGCTAAGGAACCGGATGGCTGGGCAAGTACAATGATGCTGGATTTTGGTTGCAGTTGGGTCAGGTTGCCATTTGGCCCTCTGCGCCGGGACAGGGGGTACCTCCTCATATGGGTGTGGTTGTCAAAACAAATGGGATCCCATTTTAATTTTGGGATAGGCGCACAACCCATTTTAGAACCTATTTTAGTGGTTGGATTCGGATGTTCACTGGGGGTACGATTTGGCTTTTGACCCATGGCCATATGGATCTGTCTTCTTTGGTGAGCCTTTTTGGAGTTGATCCCGTACGTAAGACACCCCTGAAGAGCTGCTGGTTGAATGCCGCTAGCTTCCAACGCTTGGAATTGTCCAGATAATATGGTCCCCCCCACTGGGGTGTTTGATTTGGCAAGTTCGTAACTGGGCTGCCCGTTTTCTGATCCCCCGCTAAAAGTGACTAACTTGTAGTGGGTTAAGTGGAAACTACCACTAAACACTAGAAGGCTAAAAGGCTAAGGGGATGCCTGGGAGCCACCAAGGTAAGTTTGGTATGTTGTAACGGTAACCCGGGTGACCTACTCATACCCCCAATTCAGTGAACTTTAGCCTGTCACCAGTGGGTAGCCCAGGTGGCAGTTGCTGCCTGGCTTGGCAACAAAGGTCCAAGCAAGTTCCTGATCAAACCTCATGGTCATTTTCCAAGGCCTGGTTTTGATGCTTGGTTGCTTTTGTTTGCTTTGGTTTGATTTGCTTCTTCATGTTGACTTCTCACTTCCCGAGCGGGTTGGCCACACAAACTCCCAAAACTGTTGCTTTACTCTGCTCAGATGCCCAGTGGCCATGGGGAAAAAAATATCGGCACCCTTTTTTGGGTTGGTTGAGATTCAAGAAGTAGGAACCCTCACCAGAAAAAGGTGAAAAAGGGCACCGCGACCCACTGGTTGCAACAGAGTCTACCACAAAATGCTCAGGCGTTCAGTGACCCTGGAGAAAAAAGGGAACCCTTTTGGGGCTTGGACCATTTGAGTGGAACAACTGAGAATGGCCTTCCCAAAACAGGGCTCCCTATATTTCCCCTTAAAGCATCACCCCCACCAAGGGACACTCACCTTTCATGGGCTAAGGTGATGTTTAAAACCACCAAAAAGGGGCATATAGAAACCTAACCCTGCAAAATGGCCTTCCCAACCCCCAAGTGCCTCAATTCCTGGAACTCGGGGCGTAATTAGCTGGGTGTTGGGCTGGCTTAGTAAGTTGTTACGGTAACCTAAGCTAGGTCCTCCAGTAGAGAGGTTAGAATCCGTGGGTACCAACTTCTTTCTAGAATAAGGGTACCAACTTTTTCTTGTTTTGTCTATTTTTAGTAGGGGAACCGAATCTCCCAACCAAAAAAGGGGTGAGACAGGGCACGATCCTGGGGGACCTACTAAGTCATAACCCACTTAGAAGTCCCCCGAAGTGGGGTCAATGGCGATCACCACTTACTAACTTGGCAAATCGAACATCCGAGTAAGTAGTACCCTAGGAGCCCCTTGGACCCTAAATATGAGGGGGTTCCTTTAACCCCCTTGAGGGCCTCAAAAATGAGGTCCCGTTCGGAGCTCCCAGGGTTAAGTATCAATTTCTCAGATGCCCAGTGGCCACGGGAAAAAAAGGGTACCCTTTTTTGTTGGTTGAGTTTAAAGGAATCGGAACCCTTAGCCAAAAAACAGCAAAAAGGAAGCAACCCACTGGGCAACAAAGGGACCGATCAAAACTCATCCGCTAGGTCCTCCAGTAGAGAGGATAGAATAAGGGTACCAATTTCTTTCTAGAATAAGGGTACCAACTTTTTCTTTTTTGTCTATCTTAGTAGGGGAGCTTTTTCCCAACCAAAAAAGGGGTGATAGAAAGGGCACCTACAGTGGCGGGGGGACCTAGACTGGGCAACAGAGAGGGCTCCTGATCAACCTGAACCCCCAAAAGACCGATTTCCTTTTTCTGGCTTTGTACCGCTTTGTTCTGGGCCAAGAGCGAAAAAAAGGAATCGGTTTTTTGGGGGTCCAGGAACACCTAACAGACGGCTCTCGATCAAGACCGATCCAAGCATTGGTGGCCTTTTGGAACAATAGATGGGTTTCCCTGGTAAATGGAAGACACCCCACCTAAACCAGTGCCATTTATTTTTAATCTAACTAACCGAAAAAGGACACCTATGGATCCAAGTCTGCGATCTCCGAGTCCTCGCGCGGTGGGTTGCGTCTCCGCGCGCCCGAAGACGTCGTCGCAGCCCCCGATGGCCGCCAGGTGGCTGTCGTCTGGCGCGTGGCGCGCGGGGAGGAGCACTGGGCGGGGCTTCCGGGAACCGGGGGGGGGGCACTCCAAAAGCGGGGGGGCATTCCTACGCATGCTGAGCCCATACTAACCCGGTGATTCATGTTTTTTTTCATATGGGGTCAGTATTACAGGTCACCCCCTGATCAAAATCAACCCCTTGATTGTTCCTGCTGGTGGGCAGGCCATACCTCCAACTGGTGGCTTCCTTTGAGGGACTCGCCAAAACCGGATCCTTCCGAAACGCCGGTCTCGGCCATTTCCCCACCAGCAAGTTAAAGGGGTTCCGGAAAGCCCCAGGTCGCCATCTGCCCCAGGGGCAAAAAAAGGAAACATAAAGATAATTTCAGGTGTCCAATGGCGCCTTCCCCGGTTCCATTTACAAGAAGGTGGGGATCAATGGCGCCACTTTTCCGCATCGCAGATTTGCTCCGTCCATGCTACAACCCCGGGTTCAAGCTCAGCTGCTCTTGCACCTCGCTGCTGTCTCCGCCATCTTCTGGATCGCCCCAGGTCACGACAGCCCCAGATTCAAGAATGGCAAATCTGCACAACCCCAGGTCACAACAGCCCCAGATTCAAGTATGGCAGCAAATGCTTTGCAAGTTGCTTGGACGTGCTGGACTTTCCTCAGCTGATCTTGTACCTGGCTGCTGTCACCGCCAAATTCTGGATCGCCCCAGGTCACAACAGCCCCAGATTCAAGAATGGCAGCAAAAGCACTTTCAGTTGCTTGGATGTGCTGAACGTTCCTCAGCTGCTCTTGCACCTGGCTGCTGTCTCCGCCGTAATCTGCACAACCCCAGGTCACAACAGCCCCAGATTCAAGTATGGCAGCAAATGCTTTGCAAGTTGCTTGGACGTGCTGGACTTTCCTCAGCTGATCTTGTACCTGGCTGCTGTCACCGCCAAATTCTGGATCGCCCCAGGTCACAACAGCCCCAGATTCAAGAATGGCAGCAAAAGCACTTTCAGTTGCTTGGATGTTCTTGACGTTCCTCAGCTGCTCTTGCACCTGGCTGCTGTCTCCGCCGTCTTGTGGACCACCCCAGGTCACAACAGCCCCAGATTCAAGTATGGCAGCAAAAGCCGGGGTAGTTGCTTGGATGTGCTGGACGTTCCGCAGCTGCTCTTGCACCTCGCTGCTGTCTCCGCCATATGCTGGATCGCCCCAGGTCACGACAGCCCCAGATTCAAGAATGGCAGCGAAAGCAAACCAAGCTGCTTGGATGTGCTGAACGTTCCTCAGCTGCTCTTGCACCTGACTGCTGTCTCCGCCCCAGTTTGGATGACCAGGTCACAACAGCCCCAGATTCAAGTATGGCAGCAAAAGCGCGGGTAGTTGCTTGGATGTGCTGGACGTTCCGCAGCTGCTCTTGCACCTGGCTGCTGTCTCCGCCTTCTTCTGGATCGCCCCAGGTCACGACAGCCCCAGATTCAAGAATGGCAGCGAAAGCAGACCAAGTTGCTTGGATGTGCTGAACGTTCCTCAGCTGCTCTTGCACCTGGCTGCTGTCTCCGCCGTAATCTGCACAACCCCAGGTCACAACAGCCCCAGATTCAAGTATGGCAGCAAAAGCACGTTCAGTTGCTTGGATGCGCTGGACATTTCTCAGCTGCTCTTGCACCTGGCTGCTGTCTCCGCCACAGTCTGGATGACCCCAGGTCACAACAGCCCCAGATGCAAGAATGGCAGCAAAAGCACCGTTTGTTGCCTGGATATGATGCACGTGTCTCAGCTGAACTTGCACCTGGCTGCTGTCTCCGCCAAGGCATGGATGACCCCAGGTCACAACCTCGCCTCCGTGGCCATGCCAAGCAAACGCCTTGCCCGTGGCAGCCAGTTGGCCCAGCTGCACAACCGCAGCTACCACATCCCCATCTTGCAACCCGACCTCAAACAGCGTGGCTGTCAAATCGAGTTGCCGGCCTTCCGCAATGAGCTTCAAGCGACGCTGGACATGCCGCTGTGCTGCAGCCTTCAGCTCGCTGATGAGAGTCGCCGGTGAGACTTCTACGGAGCAGCCATCTCCGCTGGGCAAGTGAACATCCACCCTCATGGCGCAAGAAGATTCTTCGTGCATAAGTTGAACACGAACCTGAAACACAACATGTCAATGCCGGGGTCCTGTTATGACTGGCTTCTGAAGGGATCCCTACTGGTAGGCAAACCTTTTCTGCCGTCCCCTTGCCCCTTGCTCACTTCCTGAGTGGATTTGCCAGAAAAGGTCCCAAACTGTTTATTCCCAATAGAATGGTCCAAACCCAAAAATCACTACCTGGAGTCTCCATGACACTTTAAAATGGATCCATGAACAACCATTATTTTGGGTAGCCTGACCAAATGTTTTTTTAAAGGGTCCATAGAAAGACTCCAAGTAAAGCCCAGGAACTCAGGCAGTGAGGACCTGTCGAGGACCTGTCCAACTGGCATTTTGAAGCTCTTGGCTGAAGCTCGAGATCGAACCTGAAGCAAGGCAGATCGCTCGCCTGGTGAACTCGTACCCGTTACACAAAGAAGAATACCCAAAACTCAGTCGCCCCTGAGGGTACCCATAAACAAAAGGACCCAAAAAAACAATTTGCCTTGGACATATGAGATTAAAACCCGAGACCCAGGGTCAACAACGCCACCCCAAATGTTGTTGGGTTGGCAACCCCATCTTTCACGCTGGTGGTTTTCGCTGATGCAGGCTGAATACGAAACCATTTGGCATGGACCTGCCCCCCCGCCCGCGCTCCGGAACCAAAGGAATGATCAGTTCCAAGTGCAAAGCGTATGGCTCAAATTGGGGTGCCAATGGTTCCGCAACAATGGTGATGTTCAATATTTAGCCATTCTAAAATTGGGGTGATCATTTTGACCCATGCCCATACTCATTCATAGGGGAGTGTTCTTGGGTTTGGTGGGGAATCTTCCCCCATTACTAATAAACTGTGGAGTCAACACTTTTGACAGCTGCATCTTCAATGCAGCTGTACCCCCTACTCCAAATACGCACTTTTGTTAGGGCTAAAAAAGGAGGTATCTACCTTTAAAAAACAGGTTTCCCAAAAATCAACTATAGAAAAAGCGGGTATTCGGAGGTTACGGGGGGTACTTCAAACACAAGCGGTCTTCAGATCGGAACGAAGACCACTCAGCCATGGAGACAGGTAGTTGAACAGGGATCCGGATGCATGAAAAACACCTGAACATTGCAACCTGGAGTCTCCCTAAGGACCCGAAATAAAAATGGGTCCATGACCAACCAACCAATATTTGGGGTAGTCTGACCAACCATTTTTAAAGGGTCATGCAGACTCTAGGAACTTGTAAATCATGGTTTCCATTTCTTTGTTTCGGTGTTGAAAAAGAACCATGTTTCAACTGGTTGCAAAATGGAAATCTTTTCAGGAGCCCTGTTGAATAAAATGTCATCGGCGAAGGCTTACCAAAGGAGTCCCTCCGAACAAAGCCATCGCTTTCGAGCGGTTTCTGGACCTTCGACGTCTTCGAAGGGCCGGAAGCACCTTCAAAAATTGGAGTCCGGGAGTCTCCATGACCCTTAAAAAATGGGGTCATTACCCAAAATCGTGGGGTCATGGACCCATTTTTTAAGGGTCATGGAGACTCCAGGTAGGTTTTTTTTTTGGGGAATAGATTTAGATTTCCCTGGATGATACCGCTAAACCAGGAATCGCCATCTATTTTGTCTGCCAAAGGAACCAAAAAGGACACGTATGGGAGTCTGTCTTTGCTTTTTCTTCCGCCCCCTTAGGTGCCTTTCTGGGGATTAAATGGGTCCGGAGAGGAAAGAGTAAACAATTCCTGCTTTTTGTTTGTGCCAAGTGTCAAAATCAGACTTGGAGGTCCTTTGCAATTTGTGCACAACTTGGATCCAAGTTGGACTGATATTCCACGTTCCCTCTCAAACAACCCCGGGCACCTCAAACAGCAACAGGGTAAAGAAAGGGTACATACCAAAACCACCTGCAGCCAATCCACTAGGCGACCGTCTTGACTGGAGGCTGCTGATGGAATTTGGGGCCTCACAATTTGTCCAGTCACATGTCCAAACTGCTGCCCCTGCCACGAAAACAGGGGCTCAGCCAGCGCGCGCGACAGACCTTCATATTGCGGTTGAGTATGGCAAGTCACGGCAAATTGGGAAGGAAGGGTGTTGCGTTTCTGGTCATGATTTTGATTGGGGTTAAGGTCAATCATTTCAATCAAAAAAAGGTGATAGAAAGGGCACCCTTTCGCTGGGGGACCTAGGCTGTTTCTTTGAGACCCTGCAAGTTGCCCCCCAGAGGGCTCTCCCTATAGTTCAGTCCACCAGGACTTGAAACCACCCAGAAGACGTTGAAGCCAAAATCCACCCGGGACCCAGGTCATCCATCCCAGGCCAAATGGTTAGAGTAATGACTTCGGGCATATCCAGCTTCCAGGGGTTCTTTTTTTGACCACTGACACGGACATTTCACCTCTATGGACCTTTCAAATCCCCTTTCCGCAATTTTCGCATCCATCCCATTTTGTTTGCAACGCCCCCAGTTCGATCCGTTCCTTTCGCCGTTTCGCCGTTTCACCCACCTCGCCTAGCGCCACTACTCGTGTGCCAGATCTGGCGATTTGCAGAGGAGCTGTGGCGATCCACCTGAGAAAGAACTTGGCTTCCAAGACTCTCCCGGGGACAGCGGGCTTGTCAAACAACACCTACTCTGGATGGACGAAATCCTGCAACACTTCAAAACCGTGGGAATTCGCGGGGGAATCGAATCATTCCAGGGTTTCGTTGGTGCAGGATTTCTGCCATCCACAGTAGTGAGTTTGTATGCCACCTTGGCCACGCCCATGCTTGGGACACAAAATTAATAGACTGGTTAATTTTGATTGTCTGTGTCCCATTTCAAAGGGACTCCTTGGTTGACGTTGGGTTAGGCTTAGCAGTTCAGTGGTTGGAGTTCAACCACTAAACCACAATAAGCAAACATGTAAAATGCTTCCCAACAACATGCCTTCACGAGCCGCAAGAAGATTGGAGATCGAGACAATTTGGATCTGTCTTTTTGAGGGTGCCTGGGGTTTTGAAGGGAAACGAAAAGGAAAACCAGCATTTTGGAGGGGTCCCCGAGTCCCCTCAAAGACACACAGGACACACCCATTTGCAAAATTGCGGAAGATGAGCTAGACACCTGAATCAGGAAACATTGAACAGTTGTTTGCGGTTCATGACCGGGGGTCTCCACATGATGATTCATGGGAAAAGAGCCTCAGTATACCCATTTTGGGGGGCTTGGTCTTATCGGGAATCGATTTCTCTACTGGAATTGGTTTATATATTTTTTTCAGGGGGCTAAGACTTCCATTTACTTACAGAGGAAAAACACATGCTGGTTGGTTGAGGAAAATAGGGCAAAAACAGTTTAGGCACTTTTTAGGGGCCCCATTTAGAGAAACACCGAGGAAAATATGACAAAGATAGTTACCCTCACACGAAGTTTGGACATGCAGAGGCTTCATTCGGAAACTTTCGTCCAGAAGGTTTTGGTTGTGCTCCAAACCTTTTCCATTTGCGTTTCAGATTTTTCTTTGTTCCCTCTGGTTTTAGAAGGGAATCGATTTCACTACTGGAAACATGTTGTTTTGTCCAGGGGACGCATTCGCAAATGGGGGACCATGTCCAATGGGGCGAGCGACCTCAGGGCGTTCTCCGGCAACCAGCATCAGATAATGTGAACACTCATATATGGAAGTGCAAGGGAAAATGTTAAACTGCAACATGTTCATGTCAGCAAATGGAAGCATAGGTCCATATATGAACCCATGGGAATCCATTCCGGACCACAAGAATGGGTTGAACACGGACCATAATGAAGCGGTTGATTAGCCCCATAAAAGCGAGGGCTCATACCTGGGTGAATTTATACGGGCGCATACATTCACTCTAAGGCGAGTGATATTCAATCACACCCAGGGATTATAACCAGGAGAAAACCGCTGAACTCATGCCAAATACCACGTTGCCTGGAAACAATGTAATCTAACAGTGTAATCTCGGGGTGGAATACCATAGAACTAGTCCAGGTTCCAACCAAAATAAGACACCCCCCACCAGGCCTTATTTGTAGGACAGCACAGGATAAACCTTCATGGCACACGTCAATGGGCTGGGACGAAGTGGCTCTACCCCCCGTAACCTCCAAAAACCCACTTGTTCTAGGATATATGTTGAAAAAACCTGGTTTTCCATGGTAAATACCGATCCCTTTCTTAGTAGAGGTCGACATCATACCCAAAAAAATCAAAATATTTGGGTGTAGGGGGTATATAGAAATTTGGCGCACTGCGCCCTGCACAGCGGAAAACACCCAAAGAGTGCATGCCATAGTCTGCCAGGCGTTGGGTTGCAATAGACAAATCGGCTGTGCAGGAAAGCCCAAAGAGCTTCCTCGGCCTGAGTAACTTAGGCCTTTTGTCAACGGCCGCAAACACCCCGTAAAAAGGCCGTAAAAAGCCCGCAAAAAGGACTCCCTGGGCAAGCAAGAATTTGTCTTGTCAGATGCCATGTCTGCCCGAACTTTTGGCGCATGGAATCCAAAGGAAAGGCTCGATTTATGGAATCCCATTCGGTGGGGGTGCCAAGAGGGGGGGGGTCTCCAACTTCCTGGACCCCCAAAAGACCGATCCCTTTTTATTGCCTTTGACCCAGAAAAAAAGCGGTACAAAGCCAGAAAAAAAAGGGATCGGTCTTTTGGGGGTCCATGAAGTCTCAGATCCAAAGCCGCACAGACCGGGTGCCTGGAGTCTATGCAAGGACCCGAAATAAATATGGGCCCATGACCAACCACGATTTTGGGTAGTCTGACTAACCTACCACGTTTGGGTTTTTACAGGGTGGGTGCCTTGGGTACCTACAAGCCAGGAAAATGGATCCACTGCAGGAAGGCTGCGCTTTTTGCTGCCCAACAGAACTCTTGTTTGGAGGTAGTTAAGGGGGCGTGTTAGATCCTACGATTCACACCAGGTATCACCCCCCCCCCTCCCAAACAAAAAAAACAAAGGTATGTGTCAAAATAGGGGACCTATGACAAATGTTGGTGTTGATGCGGTTTCACTTCAAACCCCAAGAGCAACCCCAAACTAGTAACTATATGGCACTTCTTTACTGCGCAATTTTGGTTTTGGCGCTCACTTGCCAAAGCGCCGATTCTCCTTGGGGAGGTAAATCTCGCAATGCCGCAGCGTGACCATAAAGGCCTGGCCAGCTCCAGGTACTCTGGGTGAATTTTCTCATATTCCAACATGAAATAAGGTATCAGGTCGACCCTCTACTAACACAGGAGCTATTTACAATGGAAACCCTGGTTTTTCAAAAAATGCCTAGAACAAGTTGTCATTTGGAGTAGGGGGTAAGGTGGTTGGGGGACTACTCCCCACATAAACGACCATTTGGGGTGAGGAGGTCGTTATAATTCACCCAGATCAATCTGAAGTTGGACGTACTGTTCTGGGAACTACCACGTACAGACTCACCTCAGTCATGGGGGGCTGGGGGGAGGGAGGGGGCGGGGGGAAGGGAGCCCCAATAAGCCCCAAATAAGGTTTTTTTAGGGACTTAATGCGTGCTTATTGGGGCTCTCCCCTTCCCTCCCTCGCCCCCAGCTCAGGTACATTGGGGCGGGCGCTGAAAGAGAATCTTCGCAGGCCAGCCCAAGGCTGATTTTGGCCTGTGCGGAAATCAAGGAGGCACGGCTTTTGTTAGTCCCAAAAAGACATGATCTGTTCTGGGCTGCCCTTAGATCCCCCGCTAAAAGTTTAACTTTTAGTTGGTTAAATGGAAACTACCACTAAACCAACTAAAAGGATCTAAAAAGCTGAGGAACCGGATGGCTGGGCTTGCCACCAAGTTTTGTGGCGGCCTGTCTATCCTCTCTGAGACAGGCCTTCAACTTCCTCCCAGCCGTCCTGTTGTGGCTGGCTGAACTTCGGCTCAGTTCCTAAGGGTACCGGATTTTTTTCTGTTTTGTCCATTCTAGTAGGGGAACCGAATCTCCCAACCAAAAAAGGGGTGAGAGAGGGCACTGCTGGGGGACCTAGGTCACCTTACCTCTCAAGGAACACTACCATTTTGGGAGGTCCGAGTGCTCACAAAAAAATGAGGTGTCCTCAGATCCCCCGCTTAAAGTTCAACCCTTAGTGGGCTAAATGGAAAACCAACCACTAAACACAAAAAAACTAAAAGGCTAAAGAACCGGATGGCTGGGAGCCACCCCCCAAACAAAACTCAAGTCTGATGTACGCCAATGTTCTCGAAACCCATGGTTGCTGGCGCCCGCCCTGCCCAAAAAAATCAATCCCAAAAGTATTGAAGTCGAAAAAGAGCCGTTACCAAATAGCAGTCAAGATTTAATCCATCCCATTTTGTGGAAACGCCCCCCAGTTCGCACCCCAATAGCAGTCAAAACCTACCCCAATCCCCTCGTCCTACTAAAAAGGTACCAAAAAAACCTACAAAAATAAGAACAAGTGAAATCCACAAAAAACGCATCAACGAAGTTTTCTAGATGTCCATGGCATAGATCTAAGCTTTAGACCTGGACATGGACTCATTGGGAATTGAGCCATTCCAGCAGGCCAAAGCAGCTTTATACCAATACATAAATACATAATGCACACACACATACATGCACACGTGCAAATACACATGTGTATATACATATATATATATATATATAGGTTTTCCAGTAGAGATGTTAGAAAAAGGGTACCCTTTTCTGTGGTCTATTTTAGTAGGGGAACCTTCCCCCAAAAAACGTAAAAGGGCACTACTCAAAAACCGATACAAAATATTTGATACCCCTCCCCAAACCCAGGTTTTGAACGAACACACTGGTATTTACAGTGCTTTGTCACCAAAACCTGCATCTGCCAGAACACACACTTTTCAGGCCCACTGTCTGCATCTGCTGCAACCAAGCAATATGATTGCGTAAGGTCTTTAAGGAAGCGCGATGGAAAACTGAAAAAACTGAAAGAACTGAAGAAACTGAAAAAAAAACAGAAAAAACAAGGATTCAGGAGGAAATGGGGGCTGCCCAGGCATGTCCCCCTCAATCCTTGGTTTTCCGTGTTTGTTTTTAGTTGTTTTTTTTAAAGTTTTCTCCTAGTATTCGCCTTTATTATTCCCCTAGTATTGTCTGAGCAACCAAGCACTATGATTGCGTAAGGGCATCTCTTCAAGGAAGCGCTCTGGAAACTGAAAAAACTGAAGGAAAAAACAGAAAGGAACTGGAAAAACTAAAAAAATGAAAAACCAAGGAAATGGGGGCTGCCCCAGGCATGTCCCCCCCAAATCCTTGGTGTTTTCCAGTTTCTCCGTGTTTGTTGTTGTTTTTCCCTCTTTTGTTCCTCTGTTTTTTGGCTCATTTGTTTTCAGTTGTTTTTCAGTTGTACCTTTATTACTCCCCTAGTATTTTCTGAGTATTACACCCTAGTATTGCCCTTGATAACTTGTGTTATGTCAGAATTCCCTAAGTATTCTCCTAGTGTTCACCTTGAATATTGCCCTAGGAATCTGTGAGTATTTCCTTAGTATTGCCCTATGATTGCCCTGGTATTCCCCTATTATTGCCCTAGTATTCAATTAATTTAAGTATACCCCTAGCATTCACTCACTACCCCATAGTATTCCCTTGAAATTTCCCCTTGTAAAGGGATAGGGGAATACCTTTACTATTGCCATGGTATTCCTGAAGTATTCTCTTGGTATACCCCTGGTATTCTCTCAATAGTCTCCTAGAAGTTTTCCAGTATTCACCTTTAGTATTCCCCTGGAGCTTCCCTAGTAGTGCCCCAGTATTGCCCTAGTCAGGAAGCCTGAGAGAAGTCAGACAGATTGAGCTTGAGAGGTTACCACAAATTCCCACGTATTATCCTAGTATTCACCTGTAATATTCCCTGAGTACCTAGCAGCCCTAGTATTCCCCTAGTATTGCCCTCGTGCTCCTTTAGTACTCTCTTGGTAAACCCCTAGTGTTTCCTCACTACCCTTCTAGGTTCCCCAAACGTTTCACAAGTAAAGGAAGCGGAATATTTTCAGTATTGTCTAACTAACCGGGCAGCTAAATAGATAATTAACTGAGTAGCCAATTAAGCTAACTGGCTTTAGATTTTAGAGCTACTTCAGTACAACTATGCTGAGTGTTTGTTTGACTACCCAATTGAGCTTGCCAACATTTACTGCTTGAACGTGAAAAAGCGTTTCGCAGAGGCGAAAATACATATGTTTCTCAAAAATGGCATTCTTTCCAGTGAATTTGCAAAACCTGGGTTTTGGAGGTGGGTTGCATATACTTGTATTTACCCCCTGCCCCGAAGATAGGGTTCCCCCCGCCCCCAGGCCAACCCTGAGCCCCCACCCGGATCCCCCCGCTCGGTCCCCAGACCTTCTCTTTGAGCATCCCGACACGTAGGACAACTCAACCCAGGACTCTAGATCTGGAATCTTGAATCCAGCCTGGGACCCCCAAAACCCTTTGAAGCGCTTTAACGTGGTTTCATTCTAGTGGGTTCAATATTAGGGCCCTATCCCAGGACTCTTGTTCGTGAATCTTGAATCCATGAGCTACCTGGATGAAATCTCTTTACAGCGTTTTGGGGGCCCATTCTGGATTCAAGACTCGAGATCTAGAGTCTGGGAATCTTGAAGCCTGAAGCTTGAATCCAACAGTGCTTTAAAGTGATTTAAAGCAGTTTGGGGGGCCCCATACTGGGCTCAAGATTCAAGAGCCATAGTCCTGGTAATATTGGCTTTAGATCCGCTTTAAAGCGCCGAAATGCGTCTGCGGTCAGTCATTCCTGTTTGGTCTGCGGCCAGTCATTCCTGTATTCGGAATTGTGTGCGGTAAGTTCAATTGATAGTTCAGCATATAGGTTGGTAAGTTCAATTGATAGTTCGGCATATAGGTTGGACCACTAAGTTAAAAGAACAGTATTTAAAGAAATGCACGCCAACCTGTGTGTGTGTGTTGCATGCGTCTTAGTAAGTGTTGCGCAGCACAAACTTTGTTCAGGGAAGTTAGTTGTTTTAGTAGACAGCGTGGCACTGGTCCAGGCATATAAGATGTGAGCAGCTGTGTTTGCTTGCTACTGGCGAGGGTTTGTGAGCTGACAGACGAAGGGGGCTTGCACATGAGTTGAGATGCGAGATGGAAGTTGCGTAGCAGGTGTTGGCACAGGTTTGTAAGTTGACAGACGAAGAGGAGCGCATCAATTGAGATGAGAAATCGAAGATGCAGAAGAGGCATTGTGTTTTTGCTGATACCCTTCGCAGGTACTCTCACAGAGATGTTTACAGTAAGCTGAACGAGGATAACATTAGTGATGAAGACCATCAACAAGCAAAACTGCTATGGACACATTTTTTGCAGTAACACGCCAGAGAACATCACGAGTTCTGTGCAAGCAAATGTTTTACTCTTGACTGACATGTTCAAAAACTTCCAAGATGTATGAATGACATTTTATGGATCCGCCCCTGTGTATGATGACGCTTTACCACACTTCGAGGGGGGGGGGGAAGGGGCTTGCATATATTCCTGAGAACTCTGTCGGGCTAAAATAAACGCCGTTGTGAGTTTGGACGGGAACTTCTGCCGCCTCAGCCAAAAAACGCCGTTGAATTCAAGAAACGCCGGCAGCTTGCAAGAAACGCCGCTGGCCCCTCGCTGATCCAAATCAGCTCAGGGCCTCGGCGCAAAGCAGTCTCAGAAGGTAGCAACATGAAGCGCTGAACACAACACAAAACTGACTTTCGCCCCCTTGCAAGGCGGCTTTGGTCGATGTGTGACATCCGGATCACTCCTTGGCGAAGATTACTTGAAGAACCTCAGCAAGAAAGCGTCTGCGATGCTTGGGCTCGAGCTCCGCCGTTGGGACTTGCGCTTCCGCCGTTCGACGCGCGTTTCCGCCGTCGGGACGTAGGTTTCCGCCTGTGCAAGTCAACACATTTGGCGGCAAAGCAAATGGGTATTCCAACAGGTCGCACCGAGTTTCCTCAACCCACAATATATATATATATATATATATGTATATATGTATGTATATCGTGCGTCACGTGCAAACTGCTGAAGCGCGGCCTCCTGAGCCTGTGCTTCTAACTGCAGGGAGCAGCCTCCCACCACGTAGACCTGCGATGTCGGGACGGCGTAGGTCCTCCAGTAGAGAGGTTCGAATAAGGGTACCAACTTTTTCTGTAGTCTATTTTAGTAGGGGAACCCTCCCAACCAAAAAAGAGTGAGAAAGGGCACTGCTATGGGACGTAGTTGAAATCAGGACATATGCAACCAGCCATAGATTCCAACTAAAAAGCCGACCGATGAAAATTGCACATGTTCTTCAGCAAGTATGAGGGTAGGAATGGCCTGGGGTTCTCCATAGGGCCCGGAGGGGTCATGACCCTTCTTGCCGGTGCTCGCTCCCCTTAAAGGAAACCAGCAGTCGGATGGTTTAGGGTCATTCCAACTCATTCCCTGCTGAGCACCAGCAATTGGGTTCATCTTTTCAAGGACGTAGACAATCATCAGGGTGTGTTTCTGTTATTGACTTTTAAGGAAGCCAAAACAAAAGGTTGCGAGTCATGTTTTGGCGCGAGTCTGGAATCCCTAAGAGGGGTAGGTACGCTTTCTTCTGTAGTCTATTTTAGTAGGGGAACCCTCCCAACCAAACAAGGGCTTAAAAGGGGCACTACTGGGGGACCTAGAAAAGGTGGGGTAGTTGGAATCTTTAGGCCCACAAGGTTAGGGTTCCCGAAACCGTTCCTTCCAATTCCTTAGGGAGCCTTCGAGAACCCGCTTGAATCGACCACCCTCTGCAATGGGATTCCCCAAGTCGCCGGAACAATTCCCTTTGAGAACCCGGTGGATCCAGTTACCGTTTGGTGTGGCGGGAACCACCCGAAGTGAAAACGGAAAAACAAATAGCAGGTTACCTAGGCTCTATGGGGGTCCACGGCGAACTTGGGCAATTGTCTTGTGGGACCCGGTCGAACCTGGTATTTTTTGTTTTGGACGAGCCCCGTACACCCAGTGGGGGTATCGCGGTCTTTTCCCCATCCCCGTTCATCCCTGGCAAAGGCCCAAGTCAAGTCGCAGCTCGAGTTAACCCTTCCTTTTTTGAGTCGTTGGTTTTGTCACGCATTCTGATGCTGGATGGGAAACCAGTCCCCTATGTGCGGGCAATTTGTCGGATTTGAACAATCGAGATCAGCTGGCTGTAACTGGTCACGTTTGGTGGCTCAAGGATAAAAACAAGCAGGCCTTAGGAAGTATTTGCTGAGGTAACTGGGTGTTACTAACCACTTAGCTATCTCGGCCTATCTAAGTGGTCAATATCTCCACAACATGTTCATGATGCCCAAACCGAAATAACCGACTAGCAAGTAAGCGAATCGGTCTTTTGACCGTAGCAAGAAAAAGGAACAAGGAGCACTACTGGGTGTCTCTGTGTAAGTATTGGCTTTGTTAAAGTGACATCCTCAAAACTACACTCTAAATTATTGTTTGAGGGCAGCCAACCCAAGCGTGACTTTGAGAACCCAATCAAACTGCACCTAGTTGAAGGGATCCTACCACAGATTGTCCAAATGAAAGTTCCTTTATGAGCCTTCTAAACCACCCCAAATGGGTATGGATGAACATAGGTGACCGCCTCAGAGGCGGATGGTGGACATACATCCCCACCCAAATAGTGTCCCATATAAATGAGCAGCGCCCAAAACCAACTGACCTTTGGTTCTACCAAGATGGTTACAATGGTTTATAGAGGCATTACTATAACCCCCAAGTTAAACCAAACAACAAACATACAATACATACAGGTAGTAGAGCCCGCTAGTAAAATGTTCCTGTTGGAATTGGTTTTGATAGCTACTATTATCCCCCCATTAAAACAGGAAATTAGTAGATATAACTAGAACCACTTGGACGTTCGACCAAGCGAGTAGGTTATTGTCCACCTGGCTTATAACCCACTCACAACACGGCTAGCCCCACTGAACGTGGACTCAAAGGTTATAGCCTTGGTCAACTTACCAAGTCGGCCGAACATCCACTAGGTCCTCCAGTAAAGAGGTTAGAATAAGGGTAACAGACTTTTTCTGTAGTCTATTTTAGGGGAACCTTTCTCCAAAAAAGGGGCCAACAGGGCACTGCTGTGGGACCTAGTCAAGAAGCTCATGATTTTGGGGACCCTCGGGGGTTCCTTCCACGAACTTCCAAGGAGGGAGTAGAGCAGTAGAGCCATCCGATATGAGTATGTCTTTCTTGAAGAGTATCCTGCTTTGTGTCGTCAAAAAATGAGAGGCACAGAAAAACAACAAACTGGTTGGGCCCCCATCTTGAGACAAATCCAAGTACTTTACTCGGTCTCTGCGGGTTTGGATTTGAAGCGACTTGTCCAACGCCCACCTTGCCCTGCAAGCAGGCGCAGCCGTGGCCCCAGCGCGCCCGCGACAAGGGCGCAGCGCCATCCTGATGCACGATGCGGCCGATGCGCGCCGTTCGGACATGTCCGCGTTGGGCCGATGTGAGCCACAATCAAAACCTGGTATTCAAATGGTTGACCCAGAGCCATGCAAAGAATTAAGAAGGTGGCCGCAGCTTTTTTTTAGTCGGGATTGTCCCTTACTAACCTTCATCTTCACAGGTTTTGATTGTGGCTCAAGTGAAGTGGACGTGAACCCAGGCCACTTTGGGCGGACAGGTCGGATCAAGCAAAAAGCGTGGAAAGGAAGAGGTGAGTTTTCCCTATTTGGCTTTGTTCCGAGAATCTATCACTCATGAAAATTGGAGTCTCCCTAAGGACCCGAAATAAAAATGGGTCCGTGACCAAACATTATTTTGGGTAGTCTGACCAGCCATTTTTTAAGGGTCCTTGCGGAGACTCCAGGTATGGATATATATGGCTACAAATGGATGAAGGGGGAACTCACAGATCAAAAGGTCGGCTTTGGGCAAGTGAGAAGCATTCTCAGATGCCCAGTGGATTTTCATGCGGTCGGCACACATTTTTTGTTGGTTCCGCCACCTTGCTCAAGACCCCTCCCCCAATTGGAGCGAGTGGAGCCCACATCCCGGCCGAAGCCAAAAATCAGGCCGTCCCACTAAGGGGAAGGGCCTGGTTTTCTTAAGGGAACCCTTACCCCAAAAAAGGCAAAAAGGAAGCAACCCACTGGTTGCAACAGAGCATATCTCTCTCCTAACTGCCTAGAACAGATCTGGCTCGTGAAGCTGCCTGTCCCTAACTTCAGATGATCGCCTAGGTCCTCCAGTGGAGAGGTTAAACCCAAAACAGCGGAGCCTCAAAACAAAGTCACGCACTCACATTCAAGGCTGTTTTCAGGTATGGGTTTTTGGAGCCATGGAGCGTTATTTTACACTAGGTCCTCCAGTGGAGAGGATAGAATAAGGGTACCCTTTTTCCTTAGTCCATATAGTTATGGGAACCCTCCCCCAAAAAATTGTAAAAGGGCACTACTGGACCCAGACCCACCCCACCCCCACCCACCCCACCCCCCACCCCCACGTGGTCCACTCCTCAGTCCACTGCTCGGTGGCGGGATCAAAGACATCGCAGCTGGCCAGAAGGCCCTGCGCAATGCCCTGCTCCGTGTACCTGCGCAAGCGAAGCGAAGCGAAGCGAAGCGAAGCGAAGCGACTCGAGGAAACCCGAAGGGCAAGTGAGGTTCTCAGATGCCCAGTGGATTCCTTTTTAAATGAGGAATGCAAGGATCGGCACCCTTTTATGGTTGGTTCCGCCACATTGCTCAAGACCCCCCCCCACCCAATTGGAGTGAGTGGAGCCCACCTTTTATGGTTGGCTGAGTTTAAAGGAATCGGAACCCTTACCCAAAAACAAGTTGAAAAAAAGAAGTAACCCACTCGGCAACAGAGAGTTGAAATCAATGGGCCATGGGCCCTAGCATTCCCAAAGCCCCCACTAGAAGAATGGCCCCTTGGGGGGCCCAATTTCGAGGATGAAACTCCTGAAGGGGAAATTGTGGTGAAATGTTAATTTTATTGTGGGTTGAAACCCAGGGTGGGTGCTCAAAACGGAGGCCGGCGGTTGTTTCTTTGTTTCACACATCCGCTTTTGGTTTCCCTTTGAGCCAAGTAAATAACTGTTGGTGGTCAAACAAAGCACCCAGGTACGGGGAAAAGGCAAACAAAGCCTCCAAAGGCAATGAAATTGGACACCCAGATGGACTCCGAGATTTCTCGGGGAAGCTTTGTGAACATCCGCAAGGTTGAGTTGGCTGTGTCATGTTTTAGGATGCGCACTCCCCCATGGGGCCGGGGGGTGCGGCACTTCCTCCGCAACAAAAAAAACATAGGGATGGGTAGCAAAAAGTCTCCACGGCCAAGGCTTTGCCTCTCACGGCCCAGAGCTTCCTCGGCCTGAGTAACTTAGGCCTTTTGTCAACAGCCGCAAACACCCCGTAAAAAGGCCGTAAAAAAACCGACCCGTGTTTAAACGGCCTCCGTAACTCGAAACGGCCTTTGGACTCCCTGGGCGGGGAAGAAGTGTGAGAGAGAGACCGCAGGAACCGAACCAGACAAAGCTCCGAGAAAAACCTTGGCCGCGCGTCGGAAAAATACCCTCGTCAACCAGACGGTCGTGAACATCAACTTATCCGGGGGCGTGGGCAGAAACTCATCTTGGGCCCAGTTTGTGCCCTTGCCTTGCACCTGTTTGGTTCACCCACCAAAATACGGGGGTGGATGGATGGCTGGCTGGATCAGTGGATGCAGCTCAACAGATTGGCGGTTGAGCACGTGAAATGAGACATTTCTACTCTTGGTATGGGCTTGCGAAAAACTTTGTTTTTCACAGACCCCCAGTAAAAATGAACAGAACCAAAACCAAAAACAAAAAAAACACGCCAAGAACAGTGAAGGAGATTCACAGGCTCTTGCCCCGCCAAGCAGAATCTCATTCGGCAGCACATGTCCATTCCTCAAAGCTTGACAGTTGGGGATCCAAATCAGCTGGCAGTTGGGCTTCGATGAAAAAAACCACGGGAGAAAATGGACACAAGCCCAGGAATCCCCAAAACCCCTTTGAGCCCCTGGAACCAGCCCACATCTGGGCCTATCGATCACAAAATAATACTTTCAGAAAGGGAGGGAACAGGCCGGAATCCACGATAAGTGATAGGGGTTCCAACAGAAACCTTGGGGAAAAAAAACGGGCGCAAACACAAAGGATCCTAGGTCTTGATGCCATATCAGTTGCTGAGTTTATTCCCCCCCTTCGTCAGGGTTCCCGAAAAGCATCAGCCCCGAAGGGAGAATCACCTTAAATGTGCGAAATGGGTGATGTTTCAAAACACCCCCTGGTTGCACTCGAATTCGCAGAGATATCTCTGGTTGGGTGCAAGAATCCCTAGAATTCACCAGAATTCCCATAGGTATCTCTGGTTGGGTGCAAGAAAGTTCCCTCGAATTCACCCGAATTCCCATAGTTATTCAGTCTCTGGGCGGGGTGCAAGAAAGTTCCCCAAGCCGCAAAGACCTGGTTCGAAAGGTCCCATGTGACCATCAGGGAAACCGGAAACCGCGCAAAAAGATCATGGACTTTCACCCGCCTAGGAGCCCTTGGACCTCATTCTTTGAGAGTTTTGGGGGGGTCCTCGGAAACCTTTTCGTAGTCTTCAGGCCCTGTGAAGGGGGCTCCTCTCACTTGCTGAGTGGATGGCCCAAAAAGAAAAAGAAACTGAAACTTTATATTTACTGCAAAAGTTGTCTTCCCAAAAAAGCTTAAAGTTCTATGAACTCAGGAAGTGAGTCCTACCCCCTGCTCCAAATACCTTTTTTTTGTTGTATTTTTTGGAAAACAGATGTTTTCCATAGTAAATGGCCTCCTTTTTGCGTAGAGGGTCGACTCATACCCGAGAAAAAAAAAAAAAAAAAAACAAAAAAAAACAACGGGTATTTGAAGTAGGGGGTACCCTCAACATTTGTTGTGTTGTTTCCCGTGATTCTCCATCTAATGTGGCTAGCTGAAAATCCCGTAATATTTGGAGTAGGCGGCTGGGACTTTTATTTGGAGTAGGGGGCCTGTTTACCACCAACATGATTCAACCCCAAAAAGTAACTAAAGTCCAGGAATTCAAAAAGTGAGTCCTACACCAGCCCACCCGCACCCAGACCACCCCCCACCCAGACCAGCCCAGACCACCTAATTCTTCAGGCCCTTTGAAGGGGGCTCGGAACCCCTTAAGGGCTCTTTTGGAGCACTACTGGGGTAGTTGAAGTGACTCCAACAAAAATTTCGCCTTCGTCCCCCGCGTTTCTCGTCCCTCGCGCCCTCCGATGATCATCATCCGCCCGTCGTCCAGCACCGCGGCCGCGCTGCCCGCGCGGCGCTTTGGCATGGACGGCCCCGGGACCTGAGGACGCGCTGCACGGTGGGTGGGTGGCAGGTTTTTTCGAGGGAAACCACTCGAAAACCCCCGGCCATGTTGATTTACTCTCTTCTTCTTTCTTTTTTTTTTGGGGGGGCATTTATTTGCCATTTGTGCCTGGAGTCCCTTTCTGACCCTCTAAAAATGGCTGGTCATTACCCAAAATAATGGAAACCACCTGGAGTCTTCGTGACCCTGGGTCCAGGACCCCGGTATTTTGGGTAATGACCCAATTTTTACAGGGTCATGGAGACTCCAGGCACTCGAAAACCCGGCCATCTTTATGCATCTTATTTCTGTTGGCGGGGGGGGGGGGCATTTTGTCAATCCTTTTTTTTGGGGAGGGGGGACATACAAAAAACCCAGAGCCACGTGGGAAGAAAGAACGAGCCAAAACTTCACAACCCTTGAAGTATATGGGCCGGCGGAAAACTGATTGCTTTTTGCAGCCCCCGAACCTAAAAATGGATGGGGTGGTGGTCAAAAGGTATACCTAGAACTTCCTGCGGCGGAAATTTCTGCCGCAACGCATTGCGGCGGAAATTCCTGCCGCATTCCAGAAAATCAGCCGCAAACAAAGAAAAACGCCGCAACCAAAACAAAAACGCCGCAACACTGTTTGCTTTCCGGGAGTTTCCGCCGCATTCCCGCCGATTTCCGCCGCATTCCCGCCGATTTCCGCCGCAAATCGGGGGGTAGAAAAAACTGAAAACAAGTTCTGCCGCAATTCTTAAAAAACGCCGCAAATCAGGAAGAACTGCCGCAAATCCAAAAAGGCGCCTTTTTTGAATTGCGGCAGAAATTTCTGCCGCAACGAATCTCTAGGTATTTCAAGCGCTAAATGGGAAAAAGTGACCCGTGGTCATTTGGGGTCACAACCCAAACGGTAAGCTAAAAACAACTGGCTCTGTTTTTGCAGCCCCCAAACTGAACCATGAACTAAAACCTTGGATCCGAGAAGAGTGAAGTTTCAGATAGGTGTGTTAGTAAGTAACCAGGGTGACCTTCCATAGTTGCCGCGTGGACGCGGGTTGTGACCCTCCCTTTTGAACACCCGGAGTATCTCAGGGCAAAGTTGGCGAGGGGAATTTCAGATCTCAATGCGGCATGCAAATCACTGACCTGCCAGGACGCACCCCCTGATCCGCCGAGTTCGACATACGTGCAACATTCAGGAGCTCCGATTGTCCACTCGTAGCCGGAAACCCGAAGAACACGGCTTTCCCAGGGTTCCTCAAAGCTTGACAAGGGGATCGTTCAAATCAGCTGGCGTTTGCGGCGATTTTGTCGCTGTCCCAACATCAACATTTCCGGTAGTGACATCGATTCCCTTCAAAAACCACCAAGATTCGGAGGTCCAGTGATAGATTCCCTTCAAAACCGTAGGGAACAAAAACCATCTGCATCTCAACTGGAAGAATGTGTGAGTTTCAAGTGGCCCAAGGTGGACAGACTTTGCTGGATCCCGGTTCACTGTGAGGTGGGCACTCTGAAGATTAATTGTGTGTCAAACGGGGAGCGTTTGCTGCTTTCCATGCCAGCTACCTAAGGGTACCGAGCCTCAAGCCAAACCAATTCTATCCTTTAAGGGAGTGTCTTGTTTTGTGTCGGTTCCCTTTCTTGGTGGGTCATGGTGGCTGTGAAAAGAAAGCCACAGACGAAAAAGGCCGCCATCTTGGTGCGTCCAAAAATTTTGAGACACCATGATATAACGAGTAGCATCTTATTGATCCATTCCTGGGTTCCCACTGCTCCTTAAAATTCATATCTCTGGATTCTGCCCCATAGCCTACCCGAAGAAGAAAAACAAACACAGCTTTTGCCGGCCCGAACAATACATATCCATCGCCTGTGTGCTGTAAGACACCGACCGACCGTCCGCAAAAAAAATATTTCGCCGGCCCAACAACAATTCCATCATGCCGGCTGCGTCCTTTCAAAAAACAAAGAAAACCGAGAAACAACAAACTAATCTCCCAGAAAAAAAAGGAACAACATCGAGAAACTAAAAAACTAATCTCCCGGAAACAAAAAACAACTCCGGGGACGCCGGGCCCATCTGCCGTGCCAGGTGTTGAACACCTCCACCTCGAAAAACAGTGAATCCAGTTGACTCCCACCGGGTGCAGCGGTCGGACAAAAAGACTAGGCCCCAACCCACACGCTATGCATGGGCTTGGCGATTCTTTTGATTGGTTTACGTGTTGATTTGCGCCCGAAAAGACTTGATGACCAGTTTTTGCCTACTCCCCTAAAATCGGGGTTGGTTTAAAAGGACACCGGAAGGAAACCGCAATCCATTTTCCCGGGCGGGTACTAACTCAAAAAAGACACGCCCATATGGGGGGATGTCCTTTTCGGGATAACAACAGTGGAGAAAAGGTACCCCTTGTGTCTTTTTTGGGGGTACCCTTATCTGACCGGACAATATTATGTGTGGCGATTTTTCTGATGATTTCCCTTTTAAAACACACACACACACACAAACAAACAGCGACAAGCCAATCGAAGAGGACAGGGGATTTGTTCTGTTTTTTGGGTGTGCGTAGTTGCAAGTAATTTGTCGCAATTTGAGTTGTCCCCGGCTGTCCTCCAGAAACCAACAGGCTACCAACTGGGCGGGCGTCCTTTTGTTTGGGGTTTAAGGTGCCCTTTTGGGGAGGAAACCAACAGGAAACCAACAGGCTCCGCCCATGGGCTGTCCGTTTTCTGATCCCCGGCAAAGAGCTGAAAAAACTTTGAGTGGGTGAAACGAACTTTCCCAACCACTAAAGCCAAAATGGCTGAGAAGCACCAAGTCTTTTGTCACCTTCCTTCGATCAAAAAGGGTGGTTTGGAGACCTCTGGTCTTGGGATGGTTTCTTGGTCGACGTTGGAAGGGGAGCAAACATTGAAACATGTTAGCAGTTAAGTGGATTTTGGAGGTTCCCACGAAACCAACATCAGCAAAAATTGGGCAAAATGTGTCCCAACAACCACGGCTTCCCAATTGCCTAGAACCATTTTGTGTTTCTCCACACCACTGGGCTCCAAAGCACTTGGGTTACCGGATGTTCGGGGTCGTGAAATGGACGTGAAACGCATCACTCGGGTTACCGGATTTTCGGGGGTTCTCCCAGTTTTGTTCCCAAGCGCGTGGGCCGTCCAGGTAAACCCTGCAATCTATGTTCCGAATCTGGCGTCTATCTCCTTTTTCTCCAGCCCTTGATTGCCTACCTTTAGGTTGGCATGGATCCCTGGGATTGCTTGTTTCCCCACCCCCTTATAACTCACTTCCCAAGTTGATTGGCCAAACAAAGTCTGAACTTTCTATTTACCACTAAAAGGGTCCAGCTCCAAAAAGTTCAAAGTCCATCAACTCAGGAAGTGAGAGGATCGGGGCCCTTTTATGGTTGGCTCCGCCACATTGCTCGAGACCCCCCCCCAATTGGAGGGGGAAATCTCGAGACCATGTCTGGCAACCCATGCCCCTGAAGATCAATTTGGTCCAGGATCCCAGTCCCTACACTCCCAGGTGCAGAGAGGTTAGAAGGAAGAAGTTGGTACCTGGAGTCTCCCGAATCGGCCCCGAAATGAAAATGGGGATCCCATGACCCTGACCATTTTTTCGGGGAATGACCCTTGCCATTTTTGAAGGGGCATGGAGACTCCAGGTGCCAACTTGTTCTGTCTATTTTAGTAGGGGATCCGAATCTCCCTTGAGAGGTCGGGCACCCTTTTCGCTGGGGCACCTAATGGGTCCACGGCCGACTGGCGCGAGAAAAGCGAATCGCCGAATGGATCTTCCAGGCCCCCCCGCCGTGTCCAACGGGCCCTGCTCTTGATTCCGGCCCCCGAAGGCGTACAGCCTCGAGGCCCCCCGTCGTTTCGGATTTTTGGTTTCGCGCGCACAGAGGGGCGAGAGGGAAGACGCGAAAGCTGTGCCGGGAAGACGCGGGTTGGTTTGGGGGCAGACCGGAACGTCCATTTGCTTCTTCGGTTCCTGGAAACAATGCCATAATCTTGAGCAGATACCTGAAAATTGACAGAGTGACTTTCCACCCCAAACGGGTACGGGCGGTAGCAACAAACTGGACTGTGTTTTGCAGCCCCCTACTCAAAAGGGACAAACACAAAAACAAACATGCTAACAACAGTGAAGGTGAATACCCGTCAGCTAGGATACCCATAGGTACACTTAGCGCACCCTTGAATATTTCGCAGGGGTCCATGTGCCAACTGATTGCTCACTTTACCTAACCCAGGACAAATGTTCTGATTACCTGGGACCCCATATGGCCGTTTTTTTTTAGGTCATACGCCTTTGACCGAAAAAAATGGCCATACGGATTTTTACGGTTTTTTTTCAACAACATGTCGAAAAAATATGGGCTTCATACGGGTGATTTACGCAAATGACCGAAAAATCATGGCCATACGGGCAAATACGGCCAAATACGGGAGTTTGACCGAAAAAAAACAGCCATACGGGGTGCCAGGTATGTTTCATCTCATTGCTCATTGCTCGCCTTTAGAGTTAGCTAAATTCGAGAGTCATGAAAGAGCCTTCCATGACAGGGGGCTACCGTATGTGTACGGTGGGGTGCGCGTACAGTGCGCGATGCGTGCGTACAGTTGGCGCGCGGCGCGCGTACGGTGCGCGTACGGTGCGCGTACGGTGCGCGCAGTGTGTGCGCGGTGCACGTGCGACGCGCGTGCGGTGTGCGCGCGGTGCGCGCACGGCGCGCGCGATGCCGCATCCGGTGTGACGGGCGCGCAGTGTGGTCCACTTCGGTCTAGCACACTCAGACTTCGCGGCGAAAGTGTGTGTGCCGAGATGTTTTGTCTTTTCCACACCTGATTTGTTTGTCCAAATATGATGTTTTTTTCGAAGTCGGTTGTGCGTTTTCACGCGCAGCTGCGCACGCAACCACTTGCGTATGAAGTAAAAAATCGCACGTGTTACATGAGTGTATGAACTATAATTTGATAAAATGATCGCGATTGATTGACATATATCATGTGGCACATGTTTCTGCTCACATGCTGGTCAGCTGGCATCAGGCCCAGCAAAAACAAGCAGAGCTTGCGCGTTTTTCTGGAGTGGTCTGCCAAAAGACGTGCCAAAAGACAGCAGCCCGTCACAGGGCCGGCCGCGCATACGGTACTACTTACTACTTATCTTGCCTGAGATGAGTGTTGATGAGAGTTTCTCAAGCGCCAAGCACGCAAACAGCCAGGAGATCATCTCGAGTGTCATGTTCCTGTAGCCTTGGCTGCTGTGGGAAAAATGTGCATAGACTCATAAAGCAAAACATGACAGAACAAATCACAACGCTAACAAAGATAACGAACGACCCTAGTACAGGATTGGGATCATCCAGTGCAAAAACAATAAAAGTCCGTTTCCTGAGGGACTATGACTCTTTGGGCCAAGTTTTAAGCGACGAACGACGGAACCGTCAAAACAATGAACATGGACAAGCAACTCTTTCACCAAAGCGTCCAGATCTTGCGTAGGATGGTTCAATCACGCTAGCAATGAAGATGCTCAAGCGCGTGCTGGTCCCAAATCTCGCAGGGGAGACAAATTGAAGGCAAGGTTGCGTTTGACAGTTTTTTTGGGAGCTGTTGCATGAAGGTGAGGTGAAGCTGCAATTAATGAGCTAAGTAGGAATTGTTTCCAATGTGTCTCAAAGTTTTGAAGTCTGTGTAGATTCAACGTTTGCGGTTGTTGTGTAGTTACAGTATCCGCAGACCCCTCCTTCAAAAAGAAAGGGCGGTTGCGTCATTAATTCACTTCATTAACTGTGCAGCTCAGACTCAAAATTCAGCGTTATGTGTTTGCTGCCAGCGATGAGTCCGGGGTAGATGTAGGACCCGGGCTCGTATCGTCATTACTGTTCTTCACTCTCCATCCAGAATAGTTTTTGCCTGCGCCGCTGGCTCTTTTGGATCTTAATGGTAAGGGATTTCTTGATGGCTGAGCAGACCTTCCGAGCGCATTGCTTGGAAGCGGGCTTCTTTTTGTTTGGCCCCCAAGGCACGTAGGGCTAAACAAGCCGTCGAGAATGAAGTAGGTCAAATTTGGCAACGTTGGCAAGACACTGAACGGAAGCAGGCTATCGCCAAACAAGAAGTTTGGTGCTTGTTATAGCATGATGCCCAAGAAAAGGTCCTATGATCTTGAGTGCAAATTTCGCAACCTCACATCAGGTCTTCCCCAGCATCACTTGTGTTTTGGTCCAGGGAATGCTTGCGCTGGTGGTGTTGAGGATGGTGCTGCTGCGTTCCTGTTATGTCCACATACATACATATATGCATGTAGATCGGAATCATAAGTGACGCAGCGCAAACTGTCCTTTGGGCCTTTGGAATTCGATTCCTTCTAGGCCACCGTAGACTAGAGTAGGTCCCTCAGCATCACCAATGCTTTAGCAAAGGAAACGATTTGTTGTTTACTTACAGCGGTCATCACTTTGAGCATCATCACCAGTGTTTTTTTAATCAAGGAAACGATTTCAACACATTGCGCGGGATACTCAGCTGGAATACTCGACAGACACAGCCGCCCGAACTTCGCTAGTCTCAATTTGTTTCTTTAGTTTTGTTTCTACAATTCAAATGTCATGTTTGGATTTGCTGGTGACGCTGGCGACGCAAAGGGGCAACATGTTGAGAGCGTTTTGTCCCAGACGGTAATGGTGTCTGACATTCCCAGCGCCTGCCCGCTTCTTGAGGGTTGATGTTGCAGTGATCCGCAGACTAGAGTGCATCAACAGATCTTTAAGAAAGATACCGGTTTATTGTTTGCTTGAAGTCGTCATGACCACCAATATCACCGGCGCTTAGCTAAGAAACAACCCGATAAGCCCCTTGCAAGGGATTCAGCTTAGACGTTTCACAAGCTTCAGGCTTAAGTACCCATGCGTTTACACATACACATGCCTTTGGCGTGGGGTCGGCAGCCCTGAAAATCATCAATCCCATCTATGTTGTGGACCAGTGTGAATCGGACCAGTATGAAGTTCGGGTCTCCAGATTCTAGAGTAGAGTGATTCGTTATAGGTTCTGCAATCT